GAGCAACCCACAGTCACGAGCTGAGGGAGTGCTGGATTGAGGACCTGAAATGGAAGCAGTTGAATTCTACCCCTCCCCCATTCGGTGCACGTAAGCATGCATAAGCATGCACACATGTGTGCGTGCGTGCACCACACCGCCTAAAAATTCCATGTGTAAGCCCACAGAGCATCTGGCCATGGCTTCCGAAGTACAGCAGTCTATTTCAAGCCTTTACTTGGGGCTACATTTCAAATCTAATTCCAGCACCACCAAGAAAAATCTCTGGGGACACAGGAACCATGGCACCTTCTCGCTTATGTTTCTGGCTGTGAGCATTGCCTTTAATGGCCAAGCCTTCTCTCCAGCCCCACATCATTCCCTCCTCCCCTCTCCTTTTCCAAAGCTGGGCTGGAAGATGGTTAGGATATGATTCAGCCCAGCAGCCAGCAATGTTCCCACTCCAGGGACAAGGCCACCAGTATCTGCTGAACATTAAGGAAGAGCCCAGACCCCTTTGCTTGGCCCTAAGCCAGATAGCAGTTGTTAGTGACTGTTCTCCCAGGACATTTTTTTTTTGACATTGTTTGAACAAGAACACTGTCATAAAGGGAGGGATAGATGCTGGCCAACCAGGAACAGAGAGGGAAGGGGAATGGGGAATGGGGAGGACAGAGATGGAAGGGAGAGCAGGTGGGAGGTGCTCACTTAAAAGAGAAAGCTTGCACATGAGTACAGAGTCCTTACGCAGCCTCATAATACATTATGTAGCCATACAACGCAGGGCCCTTTGAGCTGTCTAAGTATCTGTCTGAATGCCAGTGTGTGGTGTGTGTATCCTGCCCATTGCCAGGGGGCAGGGTTAGCATAATGCCTGAATCCTTGCACCAGCACCTAGTGGAATGAGGCCAGGCATGGTGTTTATATCTACTCTGTACAGAATAACCTTCATCAGACTTATTCCGCCCAAGTGTCACTAACACCAACTAAGCCACAACACACTTGCACCCTCATCGTGTCCACATGATGGTCCTAAAGCTCTAAAAGGTGGCATTGCTTTTCCTTTTTAAAGCCAGTGCCCAGCATACTGAATGAAGGAAGCCACCAGGCAACTGAAGGTGGCTCTGACAACTGCAGGTCAATGCGCAGGTAGACACGATGGAGACGTTGCAAAGTTAGAGAGGACCAGTCTTTAGAGTCACCTATTAGCCTGTTAGCTGCTAAGACATGGGGATGTCTTCTTGTTTAATCACATGTCTGTTCTCCCCCTCCCCACAAAAGCCAGAGCTAGGTAGGCAAAGTATTTGCTGTGTGTGAGCATGAGTCCCCAAGCTTGACATCCAGAATCCATGAGGAAAAGCATGGGAGGTGGGGGGGGGGGCGTGCTTATGATCCTAGCACTGGGAGGGGGCATGCTTATGATCCTAGCACTAGGGAAGCAAAGACAGGAGGATTGCGGGATTCACCTGCCAGCTTAGCCTATTCAGCGAATTCCAGATAAAGTGAGCAATTATGTATCGAAATATGAGGTGGGTGGTACCTAAGGAGTGACACCTGAGTTTGACCTCTGGCCTCTGCACAAGTATGTACACACACACACACACACTTACACACACACACCTACACACACTTCCACACACACCTACACACACACACACTTCCACACACACCTACACACACACACACATCTCCACACACACACCTCCACACACACACACACACCTACACACACACACACACACACACACACACACACACAACTACCTTTTCAAGCATCCAGCAAAGCAAGATTAAACTAACAGCACACCTAATGGTTTTGTTTCAGAGGTGCAGGCCCAGCTCTTGTGTTCCTATTAACCCTCTTTTTCATCACGGTGGGGCTGAACCCTTAAAGGTAGAGGAAGCAAATACTACATTTCCCTGGCATCACGTTAACAACCTATAGCTCCAGAGAGAGAAAGAGCACCAGGAATGTTGTCATAGACTCTGCAGAATAACACTAAGTTCTCATAGTGAAGGAGGAGGAGGAGGAGTCACATCCAGTGACACTCTCGTGAAATACAAGTAAAGATAGTTGAGAAGAAGTGAGAGTTATCCAAAAGGACTATCTGAGTCTAGACTCGGGTTATCATGTGGAAACAGGTGGGTGCTGTGAGAATGAGCCAGACAGTCCTTAATTGTATCTCCTTCACAAGTCTTGGTGTTGCCAACTCATTTTCTTGTCTCAGGGAATCTGTAACAAGTGCTTAGGTAACATTTCTTGTTGCTGCTACAAAAGTTCTGACAAACCTAATTTAAGGAAAGGTGGGTTTATCTGAACTCACAGATCCAGGGTACAGCCTATCACTGCAGGGAGTCATGCCAGCAGGAGCGTGAGGCAGCATCAGCACCACATCCCATGCTCCATGATGAAGCAGGGAAGGATGAAAGCTGGCTGCTCGGCAGCCTTTCTCCTTGTATTCAGTTTGGGACCCCAGCTGGTGGAATGTTGCCAGCCACACTCAGGGAGAGTCTTATCATTCAGCTAATGCAATCTGGGCACACCCTCTTGCAGACTCAGCAGTGGCCACAGGATGTGTGGGAGAGGGGTATACTCTCTCTGTCTCGTGGCACTGCAGGACACATCGTGAAAACAATGTAGCCACCTGGCAGAACTGGGGAAAGAAATAATGCCTCCAAAACCTAATGTGACCTGTGTAACGCCTACATGGTCCATCTGAAGCAGCCAGGCAGTGTGTACTCGCTGCAGGGCCGAGAGCCTCTCACGGGCTAGCTTGGTGGAAAGAAGGCATTGAGCTGCTGGCTCCTAACAGCCTCTCTCCTGCCATCAAATTGACTTCGTACTGGACTCTGTGTTCATGATCCTCCCGGAAAGAGAGAAAAGCAACAAAGGGCCACTTGTTCTGCCAGCGGTTTGTTGGTTGTATCTTCTGACAGTTGGGACTTTCACAAAGAATGGACAAAGTTTGTGTTCATGACAAAGCCATGAATGTTCTATAATTACTGCAAGCCTGTTTGTCTGGGTGCTTTAATTCAGAATTCTCAGTCAGACCACCAGTCATCAGTACTGTACAAAGGGATGGCAGAGACGGTTAAAATACTCACATTGTCCAAAACTGTCTGCTCTCATGGGTGTGTAAACCAACTTCCCTGCACAAATACCTTCCCCTATGTCTGATGCCAAAGCTTTGGACTTTGAGCTCAGCCACAGCTGTCCGAGTTCTAAATCTTGGTGTCCCCTTGTTACAGGGTATAACCACCCTTCATAATGTATGAAAGTATGTAATTTAAGCATGGGCTCATACCCTGGCGAGACTTGGGGACATCATTACCAGTATCAGGCAGCTGGCTACCTCCCCTCCCCTCCCGTCCCTTCTCCCTTTGAAAGCTCACATGGTCAGACTGGAAGTCTTTATAAAGGGTGTCAAGTGTCCTGGATAGCAGGGACATAGCAGTAACCCAGAGAGTACTGGAAGTGGAGCCATTGGATATGCAGAGCACCTCTCCCCCGGTTTCTGCCTTGTGAATAAGAAGGCTCCATTGAACTGGAAGTACAAGCTCTGAATTCACACGTGCAAGCTGCCCGTCCATCCTCAGGTTTCTCGATCCCAGCGCCACTGGCCAAAGATTCAGAAGCCAGTCCAGCATCTCTCACTCAGTTTATCAGAGCAAGCTAGGGTTGCAGCAAGCTTCCAGCCTCTGGTCCAACAGCCTGAGTAGATGCCACTCTCAGTGCATGCATGGGTGGTGAAACAGGGCTGTGGTGTAGTTTGAAGACCAGACTCCAGTTAAGATTCAGTACATGCACACAGTTGCACTGAGATATCAGTGTAGCAACCCAGGAATGCAGAGACCTGTTCGTTTACCAAGAAGTAGTGGGCAACTGGATGCTGGAACTCGCTGGCTGATGGAGGGCAGCTGTGTCTTTGGGGGTGTTTGGGCCCTGCCTGTATAGACTGTGTGCATGGTTGCTCAAAGAGAGAACTAAACACTAGGAAAACATGGTTAGGAGTAAGCAAGCACGTCCACAAGGCCACAGGGGACAACTCAGGTAATCAGTCACTTAAGAGGCTAGATGACTAGGAGCCTCAGCAGGCTTATCCAGTAAGGGCCCACTGCCATCCCAGCTTCTGGTGACAGCCCACAGGCTCTTGGATATATGTTTGTCTTGATTGTGACACCTCTTTTCTCATTTCTCACCATCCAGCAGGCATGTCCCCACATTTGCCTTCGGGCTGCATGTATTAGCTATGAATTAGGCCCCGCATGGAAGCATAAACTTACATTCTTTTTGTTACTAAGTCACATGGTTTTTAAGGGTGAACTTTGTAGATGAGAACATGTTACATATCAAATGGTTGAACACACCCAGCCTCTCTTCAGAGTTGTCTCAGACACCTTAAGATGGACCAGGTCCTCTGGCCCACAGCACGACCCGGTCTCCAGCCATTCAGAACACACACAGTCTTTCTGAGGGGGTGACTCTGACCTCTGACCCCCACCTGCCTCCCAACCTGTATAATGCATGAAGTGACAGGAGGTCACTAACTGCTTCCAAGCTTAGATTTTAAATTTTAGTTTTTAATTGATGGCATTGTGAATGCGCAGTATACACATCTGTGTGTGAATGTATTTATTATCAAAGGAAACCCAGAAGTTACACTTGAAGCATTCCAGTAAGAAGGCTCTGGATCCTTCAAGTGTATTCTCAGGAATGAAGGGAGTCTGCCTCCCAGCCTCACAGACTGAAATAGTTTGGATAAAGCTGGAGCTGTGGTTTTGGGGGAAAATACCTACACCCCCAAAAGGCTTACAGTCCCAGACTCCCCAGTATGATCCCCATAAAAGCTGTGACACCCCATATCTGTTCCGTGAGAGTGCCACGTAGTCCTTGCTGGGGGTCAACACCTCTCCTGCATTCAGACATCAGAAATGCCCACCGTATGTTCCTTCAGCAAGCCTTTTCAGAGACAGTCCATCTGCTGAGACTCTAACCTGGTGTCTTTCTCCATCTCACACAGGGACGGATCTGCAGAAAAGCTGGCAAGTCAAAAAGTCCTTCAGCCGCAAGGAAGCCGAAGCAACCTTTAAGAGTTTGGTGAAGACTCATGAGAAATATGGCTGGGTCACCCCGCCCGTGTCTGATGGCTGATGACTGCACGAACCCTAGACGCTTGAGCTGCCCGTCCACACTCCACCCTGCCATCTCCTCCCACCGCTGCTCATCTTCTACCCTTTTCTACTCCAGCCAGAACTGTGTCCTGAATGCAAAGGACACGCTTAAGTTATTTATGAACTGATGTGTTTACAGAGAGAAAGAGAGAACTGTTCGGGATTATGTTTCCATAATAAATGACCGTCTCTAAGTCACTTTAGAACAAATGTCGAGATGATGATGTTTCCCAGGCCCCGCATCCCCCACCCCCTCTGCCCACCTGTCGCATTGCCCTTAAGCTTCTTTCCTCAGCGGCAGCAGCTCAGAGCGGTGGGTGGGAATCTCAGTGCCCCGCCCACCTCATTTCCATGTACAAGGCGCTGTTCCCAAGTCAGGAGCACCGCACACCACTGAGCCCCTCTGGCCCCTGTTTGCCGCGCTCTGTTTCTGTTTGTCTTCCTGGCAGGTCGACATCACTTGGAGATGTGTCTTTTTTTCTTTCTGTGGCCTGTGGTCTGCTGTGATGACATTCAGACCTCATTCATGCTCTGACTTTTGGCTCATGAAAAACACAAATCTAACATTGCCAGGTTCTAGTGCTGATTTAGAACTACAACTGCCACTTGATTAAAACGGTCTCCCGCGCTTACCTTGCTGTGCTGCTGTTCACAGATAAATCAGTGCCATGTGAGAGGCAGGAGGTGCTGCAGCCATCGGGGGGTTCGGAACATAAGGTGCATCCCCCAGGGGCTCAGTGCGGCAGACTAGCCAGGGGAACATTCTCTTCAGATGTTAGGGAATGCTCTGACAACCATGCGGCTGTGTGCATCTCCTCTCAGCCACCAAAAGACATTTGCCCATTTGCTGAGGTCATCGGACTCATTTTGTCTTCCCTGCTAGCAACAGGAGACACCAGAACTGCCAAAGGACAACAAGTGACACAAGGAGTACTTGCATGACCCGGTCTGATACTTCACCCACTAGTCACTTGTGTGTCCCTGAGGTTGAGGCAAGAGCGCCCTCACTGTGGTGTAAATGTCCTGTTATTTAATCGCCCCACACTTTCATTTTGCTCTTCTGTTAAATCACCTAGAACTTTCTAAGAAACCCCATGAAACGAGATGATGTTTATGATGACATGCAGAAAGAGGCAAAAATGTTCATTCCAAGTGGAAAATCTTATTGGACACATTTTAAATAAAACCATGCATACCTGACACCCAGCCTCCAGAATCAATTGTCGTGACCTAGCCTTCTACTAGAAGTCAGTCTGCCTGCCTTCTTTCCTTCCTTCCTCCCTCCCTTCCTTCCTTCTTTCCTCCCTTCCTCCATCTTCCTGTCTTTCTGTCTGTATGTGTGTATATCTCTTTTAATGTATGTAGATGTTTCGCCTGTATGGATGTCTGTGCATCACATGCATACCTGGTACCTTCAGAAACCATTAGAGGATATCGAGTCCCCCTGGACTCACAGGTCCAATTGAGCCACCATCAGGTGCTAAGAATCAGACCCAGGACCTCTGGAAGAACAGCCCACAGTGCTCTTAGCCACTGAGCCAGCTCTCCAACCCCACTGGAAGTTTTTCATCTGCGTTTAAAGTGTTAATATTTCAGACACTGTCAACACCAAAACACGTGTTGGGCCAACATTTTATAGGATGGAAGCATATCTTAGGAGCCCAGACTTGCAAACACCTGAACAACTAAAATGGTTCCAGGGAGCCAACTAGAACCTTCCCAGCAAGCATGGTTGTATGACTGGCAGGTAGTGCTCAAATGCTGCCACTTCGGTCTTCCAACTATGAAGAGAGAATCAGCTTCTTGAACAGTTTTGGGGGGCTTCTCATTGTACAAAGATACTTGGGGACCCAGAAAAACTCATCTCAAAGGCCAGAGACTGGTTCGTCCCAGTGTGCCTGGGGGCCAACCAAATATACCCCATATTGTCATTTTACTTCCTATCGCTTTTCCTTTTGAGACAAGGTCTCATGTATTCCTAGCTGGCCCTCAATCTCGCTATGTAGGTGAGACTAGCTTTGAACTCCTAATCGCTGTGCCTCCAGCTCCCAAGTGCTAGAATTACAGACATACATCACTTTGCCCAGCGTATTCAGAGCTAGGGCTTGGACACAGCTTCGTGTATACTAGGCAAGCACTCTATCGACTCAGCTACAGCCAGAGCCTTCTTACAACTTTCTTATTCTCCCCAAATATACAAAGCAGCTGCTGTGCTAAAAGGACAAGATACTAAGAGTGCCCTGCCTGCTCAGGTTCCTCCAAAGCAGCCGTGATCAACAGAAACTGGGTAGCAGTAAGTGTGTAGACTTCTCCGTCCTGAATACCGACTTTTGACTCATGGTCTTTGTACCTGTGGCTGTTGGTTGTTACAGTGTTGCTTCAGCTGTGGACCTTGAAGACTTAGGACACAAATTGCTCTTCCGATACCGAGAGGGAAAATCTCTAAACAAGCTCTTTCAGGAAGAGATAGATACACATGCACACCTGGGTGACTGAGTTTTGTTTGTTGAGAATGAAGAATGTTCCCCTCATTGTTCCCAGGTGGACTATTCTAGACTTGGAATCACCCCAATGGCCCTGTTTGACTTCCAGCCACCAAGTGGGAAGGCATCACACTCAACTTGTCTCTTTCTGGCACCTGAAGTTTAATTTATTTTGCATTGCATTTGTGTTATTTTTGTATAAATCTAGGGGGCAAATCAATTATTTGTTTGTTTTAAAATGCCATTTTCAGGTAGTGAGAGGGTTCAGTCAGTGAGGTGTCTGCTATGCGAGCTTGAAAAGCTTCATTCAGATCCTCAAAGCTCACGCTAGAAGCCATGCACAGTAGCATGTGCCTCTAAGTGTGGCCTAGAAGGGAATGGGGCAAAACAGGCAGATCCCCCGAAGCTCATTGGCCAGCCAGTGTCACTGATTAATCATCGAGCTTCAAGTTCACTAAGAGACCTTCTCACAAAACAATAAGGCCAACAACAGTCAAGGACAGACACCAAGCATGAGTCTTTGGACTCCACACAAGTGTGCAATACCACACACACCAAAGTGAGTTTTTAATTAAAATTTTAGAAAGACTAAAATGGGTAATTTTTCAAATTTTGAAAGCAGTAGGAGATCGTTTAAAGTACAAACATTGCTAAGACTCTGTCCTCCAGAAGCCACCTTCCCCGTGGTCTGCGCCAAGGCAGGGCAGTTAGGTGTACCATGTCCACTACATGCTGACCACACTGTTGTGTTCTCGTTGGACATCACTCTACCCCTCTTAAGGTCATGCCTGTTGTGGAGCCCAGTGTGAGAAGGAAGCCTGGCCAGTTCCTGGAATCTCACTTCCACAAAGCTAACAAATTGATCCCCTACAGAAAAAAAGAAGGTGACTGGACAATGGGCATCTTAGCAAGCCTCACATGAGCCCTCTGCTGCTACGCCCACCATACACATACTATTCCTGCAAGAGTCATTTATTAAAGTTCATCATTTTATGATCCAAGGTTTAGTTCCCAACTTTTCAGTTTCTGTGTTTGAGCCATCTACCAAAATTGAACTTCATGGCTTTTAGAGAAATAATTGTAAACCGTTAAAGAAGACCCTGGGTTGCTAGCAGGAAAGCCCGTTTATCCGTAGGATTCTGATGAGTCAATTCACTTCCTGAACCTGGGTTTGTTTCCTCAGGCGCAGTTTCTTAACTAAATGCATATCACATTACACAAAGCTTGGAGGGAAAGCGCTTTGGGACCAAAGTCTAGTGTATGAGCTTGACAGATTCGTCTCACAGCACTGGCAAGGTATGGTGCAGCAACAGGCTATAAGAAGACCATGATTAGAAGCCTAGTAATTAAAAAACAATGCAGTGCTATAATTACATCCCCACATTGACACCCAGTCCTGTGCATTACATCAGCCAGCCACACTGCCTGTCCATGGTACTGGTGTTCTCTCACAAACAGGACGAGTGGGAGTTTGAACTGCGGTCCTGTGGGTAACTCCTAGGAACAGGTGAAGCCAGCTCAGATCATATCACTCAAGTTCTAGATATTTGTGCAAGCCAGACACTTCCTCAGCGGGAGACTTGAACTGAACAAGTGAGGTGTGTGCATGGCTGAGTGAAAGAGAGATCTCCAGTACATATGGAAGAGGCTGTGCCTGTTCCCATCAAGGCTGTGAGCCACACCCTCACTGTCCCCGCGGTGGGTGCTCATAGCTCCTTGCTCGTCTCACCTCCAAGGACTTTGTTCATAGACCTCATCTCAGAGGCTGTCCAGCATGGCACGGGAAGCTGCTCTGTGTGTAGGGATTGACACCAGTATCGCAGCAGAGCCCTTCTGACAGTATATTGATATATTATTTATGATTTACTAAGGCTTGCCTGAGGATTCAGAAAGCAAAGTCAGCCTCAAGCTACAGAGAACAGGCAGTTGTGGCAGTGGTGATACACATCTTTAATCCCAGCAGCCATAAGCTAGGAGGTGGTGGTACACACCTTTAATCCTAGGACTCGAGATTAAGAAGTAGACAGATCTCTGTGAGTCCAAGGCCAGCCAGATCTAAACAAGAGTGAATCAGTCTAAAAGAGAATTATAGCTCCCACCTTTAATCCCAACATTAGGGAAGTATATAAGATAGAAGGAGAGGTATTCGTTCTCCAGCCACGCTGAGGAGAAGTTACAGTCTGAGGCTTGGTGAGAGCTCGTGGAGACAGGATCAGCCCATTCAGCCTGAGGTAGAGGTAAGAGCTAGTGCCAGCTAGTGCCTTTCTGGTATTCAGCTTGAAGCTTGAACCCCAATATCAGTCTCTGGGTCATTTATTAATTCGTGTTACATGACAGCATGTGGGATTAGCTCTGTGAGGAAATAGAACTTGTGTCCCAATGGTGTGACTGTGACCATTACGTCTCCTTGATGCACTCCACAGAGAGTCAAGGCTGTGGCTTCGCCAAAATCGACTGAGTCAAAGCCAAGGTCATCCTGCTGTGGCTTCCTGCAACTTGGTGGTACTTCTCGTGAGACCACTTGACAGTTCACGTGGGCATATGTGAGTACAGACATTTTCCCAACACTAGATCAGTACAGAATCCAGGCTTCCATGGTGTCTGGGAAACATCCGGGGGAGGCTACTCCATGCTAACACAGTTGGGTACATGGGTGGAGCTTCCCCTATTGCAGCTTTGGGAATCCGCCGTGGAGGACTTGGAATTACAGTTCTGCATTTATTTGTT